CATGGTAGGTGTGCTGAAGGAGATATTAAATTATGGCATCGTATCATTTCAGGAAAGACTACTTAATGAAAGGGTAGAAGAACTTGTGATCAGGCCATTTATTTACTCAGTAACTATTTACTCCGACTACTGCCCAAGTTGCAAGCTTGAAGGTCAATTTTTTAAGGCTGAACCCATAAGAATGCCAGACCAAAACAATATTGAGTAAACTGTCCTTAGTAGAGAAAGACAATTGTCCATAAATTTAAAAAAAAAAAAAAGGCATCCTGAGTCAGGCTTTATGCTTGTTTGAAGAACCTCTTCCCAGCTCTGTCCTGAGTGGGGAGGACCTATCACAAGTCGCTCTATCTAACCAGTTTGCCTGATGGCTGCCCTGGCTTTGGGCACCCCTGGTGTTATTTCCCTAGCACCTAACAGCACTGACTCAGAATGCTGGCAAGCCAATAAGTAATAGTTTACCCACTCTCAGGAATTAGTTAATTTCTAAATAAAATGAGTAATTTTTCCTTCCAGTGGTTTCTAAGGTTTTCTGTATCATCATTAGCCTGTTTTGGGCTGCACAGAAATCCTCCATCTGGGTGTAAAATGTCCCTGCTGTTTCTCCTTGGAGACCTACCTAGACATAGTCCTGGTTATAATCTGGAAGGAGTCTCTCAGTTTTACTCCCTCCCCTGTCTAAGATCTGAGCACAAGCCCAGCTAGACAAAGCTGATGCTTTTTAAATTTGAATACAATGACACAGGAACTGAATAAGGCCAGAACTTGCTGCTAACAGTGCTGGAAGGTATTCTACATGTCTTTTCCTAAGTGAGTGTGATCCACTCTACTCATCCTAGTACACTTGTTCAGCTCAATTATCCAAAGTTAGATGGTGTTGCTTATAATCAAAGAATTGTAATGATACGCAGTGCTCAGATTCTAGAAAATTTGGGGTGAAGAGCAAGAAGAAGAGAAAGTAGAAAATGTCATAGAAGTATGCTGATGGAGACACATTAAAATACATGATGCTTACCAAAGATGGGCTGCATACTTTTTAACTAAGAAATGTGAGCCTAAGGTCAGTGGCTGTCAGTTTTAATAAGCTTAAGAGTCACCCAAGATGCTTCTTTAAATGCACATTTCCAGGCTCTTCTCCCAGAGGTTCTGATTTGGCAAAGCTGTAAATGCCTGGGGATCTGCATAATGTACAAGCTTCTCACCTAATTCCCAGCCCATGCTTTGATAAACGCTGCTCTCAGACCTGCTATACACTGAAAATGGCAATTAGTCAGATCTATGAGCACAGCAAAACCTGCCTGCTTCCTACCATCTTGCAAAGCAATGACAAACGTCTAGTACAATAACTGTTTTATAGAATATCATAGTTTTGCCAGTTTTGTGACCTATTTAGTGAATTGTAAGACATATTTACATATAAAAAAACAACAAAGACTCATTTCAACTTTTCATTTCATTGAGCAAGGGTCAATGAGATTACAAAAGGGAATATTTAGAAAATGAAGACTACCAACTTTGTTTTACAATCCGCATTTTGTAATTTTATATAAAAGCAGATTTTATATGGGTGTAATTTTATTCTTTACAGGTCTTCTGTATGTATTATGTTCATTGCAAATACCACTGTCTTCTTGAGAAGAGCACCTGTCTCATAAGGGTTGAAGATTCATTGTGAAGGCATTTTCCTTAAGATGGAGGTGGAGTGTTCCTGATGCAGAGGAGGAAGATACAGAGGAAACCAGAGTCTCCAGGACTAAGTTAATAAAATGTGTAAATTCGTTTCTAGACCAGTTCCACAGGCAGGCTTATCACCAGGACAAATACATATCCCGTGACATCTCATTTCCTCAGATATCTGAAAACTGACTCTACTTTTTCAAGAGCTAACATAACAGAAAGAAAGGAATCCCGTATAGAGTTTTCTCGGCATTTTTCCACAAGGAAAACTTCCAAACACTTATTTCTTCTTTAATATGATTGATGCTTTTCCAGATGCTTCTTCATATAGAAACTATAAGACAAATATATTCCAGGAAATCATCAAAGTTCAACAGTTTGTATGCAGTGCTCAGCGCTACACTGACATTCTGCTTGACTATCTTTATATCGTTCAGGAGTTTTTGTGCAAAATTTTCATACTGAAAACAAAGCATAAATTTTAAATTTTTGAATCCCTTTCAACATGACTCAACAATTGTGTGTTGAGTACAAAAAGACACTCAGGACTCTACTAGATCCTGAGAAGGATGTGTGATGGGCAAGATTTCATAACAGAACTATAAAAACAAGAGGTTAAGAGATAGATTCTAAAAGCCAGAGGTTGGGAAAAACATCACCTAGAGGCACACGGGCCTGGCTGCAGATGGGCCAAGCACACTGGCCTCAGGAAGGCCCAGCGAGTGGGCAGAGGACCAGGTTGTGCCTGACTTGCCACACGTGACACTCTCGGGTGTGCAAGAGGGGGGAAGATGCAGAGGAAACCGGAGTCTCCAGGACTAATATCCACAAGTTAGTCATGGGCTGGGAGAAGTGGCTTTCATTATTCATATATAAGTTCACTAGAAAAAAAAAACCAAAGAAATGGTATTGAATAGACACAGAACCCTTTTATTAGAACTCTAGGCTCCAAATAATTTATTTTTAATAAAAGCTATTTTGCTCTATGCTGCTGGTGCATGTGATAATCACAGGACACCACATGTGCCGCAGGGTCTGCCAGACATTCTGCAGCACGCAGGCCCAGGTTCAAGGGCATCATTCTTCATATATTTTGCACTGGTTTTTGGCTTTTCCTCCTCTGTAATCTTTTGTTGTTGTTGGTGGTGGTAATGTTGTTGTATTTTTTATAACTTTGTTGTATTTATTTATATGTGGTGCTGAGGATGGAACCCAGTGCCTCACACAGGCTAGGCGAGGGCTCACCACTGAGCCACCACCCAGCCCCTGCACTGTAATCTTCATTTACTTGATAACCATCACTTCTAAAGATGGTCCCACACGTAGAGACTTTGCTTCCCTGATAAGCTCCAGGAAAGTTTTAATGTAATTCAGTGACTCAGCAATTGGTTGTTTTGTGTTTAATTTTATTTTTTGTTATTTATTTATTTTAACTGAGAAGTGAAAATTGTGGCATATATTTATGGGGTACAATGTGACATTTCAGTACCTGTGCAAATCATAATGCCAAAATCAGAGTAAGGATACATATCTTCAAGTATTTATAATTCCTTTATGGAAATTTATAATTTTCTTGAAGCAAATATTAAATTATCATTTTCTTAGTCACCCTAAAGTGCTATAGAAAGCCAGACCTGATCTCTCCCATCTAACCATAACTTAGTATCTGTTGGTCAACATTTCCCCTTAATTCTCTTCCTATCTTGCCAATCTCTGGTAACCACTATTCTACTGCCAATTTTTTTTTTTTTTTGAACTCTCCAAATCAATGAGATCATGTGGCATTTGTCTTGTGTGCATAAGTCATTTCACTTAGCATAAAGACTTCCAATTCCATCCACGGCGCCACACATTACCATTGTTATTCTTTTGTATGCCTGAACAGTATTTGATTGTGTATATTTACCACATTTTCTTTATGCCTTCCTCAACTGAAGGACACTAAGATTATTTCATTGTGAGCAAGGAGTGCAGATGTCCCTTTGACACATGATCTCACTTGCTTTATACCCGGTGGTGGGACTGCAGGATTGCACGGTGGCAGCACATCTGTGCTCTTTTCCATAATGTCCATACTACTTTGCATTGCCACCAACCCCGCACAAGGGCTCTCTTTTCCCCATAGCTTCACCAGCACTTGTGATCTTTTGTCTTTTTTTGGTAATATCCATTCTAATTGAAGTGGGGTGAAATCTCATTGCGGTTTTGATTTGCATGTTGCTAAGTATTATGGTTTTGAGCCCTTTTCATATTTCTGTTATACATGTCTTTTGAGAGTGTCTATTTAGGACTATTGTTCATTTGTTAACCAGATTATTTATTTGCTATTGAGTTCTTTATATGAGTTCTTTATATAATATAATATATAATTTAATCCCTTGAGAGATGTGGTTTGTAATTATTTTCTCCCTTTCTATAGGTTGTTTCTCCACTCCATGTACTGTTTCCTTTGTGGGACAGAATCTTTTTGGCTTTCTGGAATCCCATTTGTCCATTTTTGGTTTAACAATTGTTGACTGGACATCCACTGGATATTGGATATTGGGAAGGACGCAGAAGATAAAGAGCACGTTCCCCACTCTCTAGGAGCTATAGAACCTCCTCAGAGGTCAAGTAAACAAGCAGTAGATGAAGTCCCATAGATGACAGGGAAGATGGGTTGATGTACATAGCAGTATGTGACTGTCCACCTGTTGCAACATGTCAAGGGAACACAGAATGAATATGCTTAAGAAAACCAAGAAATTCTGCAGAGTAGCAATGTGCACAATATAAATTAGTGGTTGTGTCCCTCAGATATAGGAAAGTTGGCTAGTAGGGAGCAGGCAAGGATGTTAAAGCAGAATTCCATCCCTGTTGGAATGCACATCTGGAAGATTTACCTGTTGAGGAACTGTGATCCTCAGAGTCTTGTAAATGTAAAGGAACTTTAAATAAAAGTAACATGATTGGACACCTCAAAGTAAACCCAACCAGAGTCACATAGAATTTTCAGTAATGAGGCTGGGGATGTAGCTTAATGTTTGCCTAGGCCCTGGGTTCAATCCCCAGTACAGAAAAAAAAAAAAATTATAAGAATTATCTATAATGAGTAACAAACAGAAATTAAGTTTGAAGGCAAGTATAAAGTGGAATTGAGCTCAGGGAAGCAATTATTTCCTGCATTTGGAAGCCATCACAGGATCATGTCCACTCTGGACTTTGTCTTTTGCAATGTTGTCATTGTTCTGCTAAAAGCAATTGACTATTTATAGGTAAAGTTTAGTTTCGTATTTTATGTGTAACACTGCTCTCTCTCGTGTGTCTCAGTTACAACCACAAACATGTAGACTTTTATAAATTAATTTTATTCACGGTTGTGTGAAAACCTCTTGGGTTCCAATATACAGTGCTATAGAGCTTGACAGTGGACGGCCCTTTGGTGGAGCTTGTAAGTCAGCTGGATCTGCTGCCTTAAAGGCAGGTCATTGGACAATGCTTTGCAGGTAAAGATCCCACAGAAGTTTACTCTATAAGAGGCAGGGAGTACTTTCAGACCAATTAGTGGTCAAGATAAAGGTTATTTTCTAAAAACAACCAGGAATTATTTCATCTAGAAAGCAAGTTGTAATGAGTTGCTGAGGCAGGAGAACTGGTTAGAAAAAATAAGTCCTCTTTGCTTAGAGCCCAGGATCTCCTCCTGCTCATGCATTTCCATTTATGGCCTTTTCTGTGTGCATTGTAACAACACAGGTTCCCAGATAGCAGACTGGGGCCTAACCACCGGTCCAGCCTTGGTAAATTATTCAAAGATTTGCTTGGAGCACCCTCCTTGCTCCAGCCTGCTCCAGCTCTGTGCATCTATCTGGCAGTTTATGGGGTGTCCAGTGAAAAGGAGATGCAGGTGGCAGCTTGGTCCAGGCTCGCAGGAAACTTCTAAATCCCTCCCTAGGACCTGAGCCAGGGCCTTTCCATCCCCATCCCCTAAATCCAGCCATATAAGCACAGCTACAGAAGCCCAACTCCTGTCGATGACCTTCGACTCCTCATTATGTCAGTGTAACGCCCAGTGTGTGGCCAGGAGTACAGGAGACAAGGTGGAGTGCCAAACAGGAGAGCAGGCTCTCAGGTGGCTTCAGGACATCAGGCCCTCTTTCCCTATGAACTTCCCCTGTCAAAAAGTATCAAGACTGGTGTTAGTATTTCAGTTAACATTTTATAAACTAGATTAACACATCATGATCATAATTTTTGACATAGCCACCCTCATTCCTAAGTTGATTTGATTTGGAAAATATCAGAATTACAGAGTGGGTGAAGGCAAGATGTCACTCCTCTTAACCGTTCTTCCCAAACTCAGCCGTACCATGATGCTCACAAAATCCCAGCCCGGCCCATGAAGGCAGGAAAGGCTGAAGATGGGCTGGCTAGGCTCCAGGGCCTCAGGGACAAGGGAACTGTATCTCAGCTTCCCTGAGAACCATTCCCACAGGACACGTGGACACTTGGATCTAAGAATTTGATTGGGTTTATTTCACACCCGAAAGTAACTCAGATGCTTTTCCCAGCCACTGTCCCTCTTTCACAGTTTGAAATGGCTATAGGAAGGAATCTCTTCTACTGCTGGGACAGCACAGGTGTCATGAAGAAAGATCCTTGAGAAGTACTGAGCAAGCCTTAACCAGATCCATCTCCTTTGTTTGACAGATGAGGAAGCCAGGTGCAGAGTTCACACACAGGAGCTGGTGGCAGGAAGTTGTGAAAGCAGATGGAGGTGAGATTTCTTCACTTCCACTTCTGGGCTCTTTGCACCGCACAGGGTCTCTCAGCTGGAGTCCTCAATTGGCAGCGTCAGCACCAACCCAGGACTGAGCTGGCCAGCTGTGTTTTAACAAGGCCTCGAGCAGTCCTGACGCACGTTCAGGTTTGAGAACCACTGCACTACCATGTTGCTCTGTCCCAAAGGCAGGCAGGGCTCAAGTGAGTCAAGATCTTGCCTGTGCAGTCACCAAGCCAAGCTCTGAGCTGCCACACCCAATACTGTGATGTTGGTGCCCTCTGACTTTGGGGTTGAAGCGATTAATAGAGGGAGGTCTGAGTGGAGGACTGAAATAGAAACAAGTAGTGCCGCCAGACCTGGCCAGACACAGGCTGTAATCCCAGCCACTGGGGAGCCTGAGGCAGGAGGAGCACAAATTGAGTTCAGCCTCAGCAACTTAGCAGGGCTCCTGAGCAACTTAGTGAGACCCCGTCTCAAAATAAAAATAAATAAATAAATAGGGCTGGAGATGTGGCTCAGTGACTAGGTACTCCTGGGGCTCAGTGATTAGGTGCTCCTGGGTTTAACCCCTGGTATCTCCCCCGCCCCACCAAAAAAGTTCTACTCTTATAGAGGGAAAAAAAAAAAAAAAAGAAAAATTGTTTTACTTTTCAAAGTACACTTTGTTGCTTTTTGTGTTAAAGACAGTTGTTTTGAAAATGACAAACCTCTGTAGATTTGGTTTATGTAGTATGTGGAAGATTAAAGGGGAAGGAGAAAAATACTCCTTAAAGAAGAGGCCAGGTTGGGTTTGCCTATTCCACATGACCACTGTTCAATTCTTTTGCCCTGACAAACACTCAAGTTTATTTTCTATATGACTCACCACCCAATTTCTAGTCCTTAGAAGTGGGTTCTATCCTGTGCAGATCAGGGATATCAAATAACCAAAATATGAGAAAGAAAATACACAGTTTATACTTTAATCCAAAAAATCATTCTATCATAAGGAACTAAACAAGCAGAAATTTCTCTTCCTGATTGAAAAACTCACGTTAAGCTGAGCAATATTAATAGCATTAAAATACTTTTGAGTTCTATCCTTAGGGCATCCTTGAATAATAGCAACAAACACTGTGGCTATTAGCTAGAGTTGGTTCATAGGATCTTATAAACATTCCTAAAGGAGAAGAGGGATACACCGACTTTCACTCACTGCCTTGTATCCTCTCTAGCCTTTCTCATATTTGTGGACAATGCCTTTTAAATTCTTTATCAAATATTAACTCGGTAAATATCAACTACCACAGAGAAACACAACTCTGTGGACTCCTCAGACCAAAATATTCAAGGTCATCATCAGAGCCAAGTTCTCAATTTGTCAGATTCATGTCTTTTAGCACTGATGATAAGGTCCAGTCCATCAGGAGAGGTGTAAGTACAGAGAGAGGCAGAATTTTTTTTTTTTCATTTCATTACTGGGGCTTGAACCCAGGAATGCTTTACCACTGAGCTACATCCCCAGTCCTACTTTTTATTTTGAGACAGGGTCACACTAAATTGTAAAAGCTGGCCTTGAACTTGTGGTCCTCTTGCCTCGGCCTCCTGAGTGGCTGGAATTATAGGCCTGTGCCACCACAGCTGGTCTAAAGTCAGAATTTTGTGAGGAGTTACTGTGAAAGAAAATGAAAACTTAGTAAAAAGTCAATATTATTATTTAAGAATGTTTATTCTGTTCTTCATGTCATTTCTTTGCAAAGTAGATTTATTTTTAGCTGTGCAAATGTAACTAGGAACCCAGAATTTTAAGCTCCCAAAACTGTGGGAAAAAATACCACTGGACTCAGTCTCCCAACCAGCACAATACAGTGGAGCCAAGTATGTGATCGATTGTTTGCCAGAAATGTAGAACCTCAGACATTGGCCAAGTGGTGCTAGTATGTTTGCTGAGATGATTCTCAAAACTTAAAAAGACTCAAGTAGTTTTTTAAATGCACTAACACATTCCACATTCACAAATGTCCTGGTGGGAAATACAGAATGTGTCATTGTATATTGAGGGTAACCTGTACAGATATTAAAAAAAAATGACTATTATTTTCTTCCTTGAAATGTAAATATAGGGATTAATTTTTTAAGCTGTCTGCTTAAAAAAAGTAATTATCATTTTGAGCATTCACCCAGTTTTCACAGATAAAGGGAAAGTTTAATTGTGTGAACAAAATAAAAACACTAAAAAAAAAAAAATCATCTAATTTTCTAGTGCCTCACAGTGTTCACTTCATGGCTCAGTGTCTTGCCTCTAGTGAATGCATACCATGAGAGTCTTGGTTTTCTGAGAGACCTAACTACCGACCCATGAGCAGTGTAAATCACTTCATGGTACAACCAAATCCATTGCAACTTCCCTACCAGAGCCCTAGAATCATGTTTATATTGTTATAATCAGTGCTGAAGAGAAGAAAATGCATTTTAGTAATTTCTCTCCCATTGCAACATTCTAGTAATGTTTTCATGTCTCCAAAATAGTAAGTTAATCTCAAAAAGATTCCAAAAACAATGAGCTGATTCTCCTCATGGACAGCAGACTGCTTCTTCCACAAGGTCATCTCATTTCTCATTCTCCTGCCTGCTCTGCCTCCTCCTTAGTATTTCTCCGGGTGCTGAAAAATGATGAGACACTTAATTAATGATTCTAGAGGCCCATCATTCCATTCTGTTATTGCTAGGGGAAAAAAAAACTGGAAAGAGGAAGAGAATCCACATCTGTGGGGACTCTTGGTCTTAAACACAAGTTGGAGAGTCTTCACACACAAGCCTTCTGAGTGCTACAATCCCTAGAAGTGGGTGGTTTTGTGCCATCACACACAGGAGTAAATCAAGGCCCAGAGAAGTCACTTGGCAACGGACCTTAAGATAGAAAGGGACAGGCATCATATTTGAACTTGGTTCCATGTAACTGTAAAGCTCAGGCTCTTTGCAAATTGAATAAAATATTTCCTCTGGAATATTTACTTAACATTATGGTTCTTACCTTCGTTTAATGGCTAAGTATCAACCATTGTCCCATTTCAAGGCTCGTGGGGGTGGGAAAAGTGTGAAAGTGTAGATGAAGCACAATATCTAGTGTGAAACAAGTGCTTGCTTGGAAGTGTCCTCACCACGGCGTAGAAGCTGCAGCTGCCTTAGTTCCCTCTTGGCATTTTCTCTGAGGATCAAGCCCTTTCATACTGCTCAAGCCAGAGTTACAAAACCCCATATTCCACCTCCATTTGTGTGCAGTAGGGCAGGCAGGGCAGGAGGGGCCACTCTCACAGACGGGTCAGCCTGGAGGGCAGCGTCCTGTCCCTGGAATCAGGGACCACCCCCATGGCACCTGGGCACAGTGCAGGGATGCTCCTACAGTGGCACTGGGAGCCTTGGCCTCTCTCAAGAAGGTCGGGGAGTGCCCTGAAGAGGCAAGCTGCTGTGGCAGCGGGGACAGGGGCTCTGGTGACCCACAGCCTGGTTCCGGTTGCCTTCTGTGGTGTCCTCCTGCTCTCCTGACAGTAAGCAGAGAAGAGCTCCCGTATCGGTGACTCACAGTGAGACAGGAAATCTCGAGCAGGCCCGCCCTTCCTTCCTGCCCTGGTGAGGAGCTGAGCTGCAGAACCACAGGCCACAGCTGCCCTGAGTCCTGACCAGAAGAGCTGCTGGGTGGGGCCTGCATGGGGCTAGGGTGCTCTTTGCCCAGGAGAATAGGGTTTCCATTGAGGTTTCTCTTCAGCCTGCGTTCAGTACCTTGCTGGCATATTCTGGGCTTTGTATCATTTTTTTAAATGTGAAAACCATAGACTTGACATCATTCCACTACATTGTCCTCAATGAGGCCTCATTCAGCAAACTTTCAAGAGACTTCAAAGCTGCCTGTTGTCCCAGCTCACCTGCAGACTGAGGCAGGAGCCTGGCTTCCGTCTGGGGGTTCCAGGCCAGCCTGGGCAACATAGTGAGACCCAGGGAGAGGGAGAGAAAGGGAAAGAAGGGAGCAAAGAAAAGGCCTTGGTCATCAGCAGCACCACTGCACCGTGGTAAGACGTAACTACGTTCACTGTCGAGTTCTGAACACAGCATGAAAATCCTTCAGCAAAATCCCACCATGAGCAGCAAAGGGTGATAAAGGTGGGAGAGGCCACCCACATGCCCCAGGACAGCTCAGGCACTTGTGCACTTGATGTCATTTAAGTCTCACCAATGCCCCGGACAGATTTACAGATGAGGAAGCTGCCAGAATGAAGGCCTCTTCACTGCCCCCAAAACTGTTCCTAAACCTCACACACAGTAAATAAAGCCCAAACAAAAAGCCAAGCCAAACAATGGATACATATATCTCTCATAAATGCTGCTGCTGCTTGCAGTGATTTATCTTAAGAGTCAAAAGAATAATGACACCAAACGATGCTCTATCTATGTGTTTGCCTCATTTAGCCAAATTGAGTAATGTGTTTTGAATTCATTCATAAAACTGTAAAAGAATTATCCTTACGAAAAGCCAAAGCCAAAATTCGAAAAGGGGATTGACTATATTGCTATCTTTTGTCAAGTGTATTATCTTCTCTTCCTGAAGGGCACAGAAAAAAAGCCCTGTATTCAAAGACATAAGGCAACTCACAAGTGCCTCAGAAGCATTTGGCCCGGCTGGAACCCATTGAGTAAGTGGAGTTTAGGGCCTCACTAAGTTACCCAGGCTGGCCTCGAATTTGCCATCCTCCTCCTTCAGCCTCCGTAGTCACTGATTACAGGCATGTGCCACTGCATCTGGCTACAGCACTGTGTTGATTCTAGTGTAGAAAGAGAGAAAAGCAAGAAAGAAAACAAAGAGTGCAGGAAGGAGGGAAAGGAGGAAGAGAGGAAGGAAAAGGAGCAAGAAAAGAAGGAGGAGAAAAATGGAAGGAAGGAAAAGAGGGAGGGAGGGAGGGAGGCAGACACATTTATGCTTCTAAGCTTTTATTTTTTAGCTTTACACGGAGTCATTTGACATCCAGTGAGGAGGTAGGTGTCCAGGGGCCAGCTTCTCAAGCCGAGCTCTGAATAGCAAGGAGCTCATAATGCAAAAGCAGGTGAGAGGCCACTGTTCCACGCAGTCAGGCCGTGAGAGCAAGGCAGGGCTCTCAAAGGAAGAGGAGAGGCCAGCAGGATGGAGGTGGGTCAGGAGCCAGGTCCTGCCAGCTCTGTGAGCCCAGGTAGTAGTGTAAAGAGAAAACTTAAAGCAGAGGACAGGTGTGATCCCATCTGTTAATACACTGCTCTGGCTACTGAGTGCACGCTGCATTTTTGGAGGGCAAGTGTACAAGCCAGAAGATGTGTCAGGACACAGTCCCATGAGCTAAGCCAGCTCTTCCTCCTCTTTCTTCTCTGGGCTCCGGCAATGCTTAGTAAACACTCAATATTAACATTAACTGTCCTTCAAAAACCTATTTATGTCGTTTCTCTTTTACTTAGATAATAAGACCCTTGAAGGCAGAAGTGAACCATTAATTATTACACAACAAACAATCCCGAAATGAATAAATCAAGGAGAGAATGCATGACTAAACCAAGGCCTCTGATCTCCAAGAGCTCGACGTCTATGAACCATAGACATGCTCTCGGATAGTGGATGGTGACAGGGGTCATTTACAGCACAGAGGACAGAAGCACTGCATCCCCGGCAGAGCCGAAGCCCGGGCCCACTAGGGACCCACTTAGAGCACAAAGGGGTCCTGTTTCTCACCGCAGCTCAAGTTAGAAGCAGGGCAGGAGCGAGGCGGAGGACACGCTGAGAAGGCTCGGTTTGGGTGTCCCTCAGTTTCAGATAAGGGCTGCTTGAAGCCTCAGAGTGCTGGGTCAAGGGGAATCTCAAATGAGTCTTCAAGAAATGATCTCTGCTGGCTCCCTAGTGCCAAAAGTGCATGTAGGGCCTTTGGCATTGTTCAGAGTGCTGCAAACTCTGGCCTCGGGGACGTGTTTCCCCAGAAGCTAAAACGGTCGGTGTGCAGAAGAGTGGACTTAGATGCTGGGATTCCCCTGCTCCCCCTCTGCACTCGGGGCTCCCCTGGCTCTCCGCAGACATTCAGGACGTGAGCTGCACAAAGGGCACGTATATATAATATGTCAAAATACACTCCACTGTCATGTATATCTAAAAAGAACAAGGAAATAGAGCTAATTAGAAATTTTCAAATGCCTGAAAGGATGGCTAAAGAAATCATGGTCTAAATATAAAACAAACTAGGATACAGTGTGATATTTAATACATTGGAGGAGAGAATCAACTTGACCTTGACACTGGAGGTATCTTCTTCAAGTAGAACGGTTTCTGAACACTGGGTTATGTGTCCTTTTTTTTAATGGTCCAATCATTCTATTTCCTGCTTTGATAATATTCCCATTATTATAGTCATACAAAATCTTTTTACTTAAAAACATTTAATCAACGTATTGGCAAAGGAAAGAATCATCAGTGGTTGAGAACAGAGCCCAAGTGATGGAATTGTAGAGAATGTGGAGAGTTGGGATGGGTGGAGGGAACGGGATGGAGGAAAGCATGTGGGTTATTAATTCTCGCCTTTCAGGTGATTATGAATCCAGATTTCTGAAGCTGACAGATGAGGAAAGAAATGTTATTTAAAGATATAAAGAGAACCAACCCCTCAGTGGTTCAATTTTGTTTCTTGAAAAAAAAATGGGTTGAACATGTATGGCGTTGTATCTCACCACAGCTTTGTCAAATACTAGGAAAGGTCATGTGGAAATGACAGCAGCATTAGAAAATAGTGTTTTATCCTCAAAGTGTACAGCTCCCACAGAAGCCCGACCGTTTGCTTGCATATTCCAACTGCAACCCTCAGAGCAGAATGCACCCAGCTACTCCCCAGGTGTCCTCTGTGCACAGCTCCTGTGGAACCCCTCCCGGGGAATCATAGGACTTTCAGGTTCAAAGGAAAGGCCTGTGGAGGTACCCCCCCCTCATTCCACCGGTGAAGAAACCAAGGCCATGTGAAGGTTAGTGACTGATGAAATCAAACAACTTTTAAATGACAGAGGTGGTCTAGAATCCATCCTAAATTCTAGGACAATGGTCTTCTGTGGACACACACACATACACACACACATACACACACACATACACACACACACATACACACACACACATACACCTGGATCATAAGGGCTGTGGAATAGGACAATAAATGAAGTAAATGTATCTCCACCTTATATAGGTTGACTCATACCTTGCATGCATTTGTCATTAGGTCAGTACAGAAGATTCGTTTGACTGCTTTAAATGCTACTGTAGTCTCTTGACTAGATTTTACAATTCTAACATGTGGTTTGAAGTCTCTTGGCTTTTCAGGGTAAAACCCACAAAGTTTTCCTTTCCCTGTTCAGCCAAGCAGCTGAATAACTGGCAATATGGACTGATTATGAAGGCAAGCTTGCTGGGCATGGTGGTGGGCATCTGTAATCCAGCTGAAGGCTGGAGTAAGAGGATCACAAGTTCAAAGCCAGCCTCAGCAACTTAGCAAGGTCCTAAGAAACTTAGCAAGGCCCTGTCTCAAAATAAATCATAAAAAGGGCTGTAGAGGTGGCTTAGTGGGTAAGCACCCCTAGCTTCAATCCCTGGTACTTAAAAAAAAAAAAAAAAAAAAAACTATACAGCCTTAAAAGAATTATAATTGCAAGGACAGTAGAAAGAACACCCAATTATGCTGTTTTACCCAGATTAACTAAGTTTTAATGCTTTCTCTCTATATTATACATATCATAAATTTTTAAAATATACACTTTTTTCAAACTATGTGAGTTGCACAAATCATGCCTCTTTATCCCTTAATATTTCAGTTTGTATTTCCTATGACAAGATGTTTTTTTTCTTTTAGACAGTCATAGTTATACTTATCAAATTCAGAATTTTCCATTAATATCAAACTTTAAAGTCCATTTTCATCTCCTCAGTTGTGAATGTGGTTTCCTCCCAGGGCTTGAGTTTGGGCCCTGCCCAGGTCAGTCCCACTGGGCCTGCAGCAGCTAATGGCCAGCCCTGGCTCCCCAGGCTGGCCTCCTTGAGGGATGCAGGTGGCTACTCCTTGAGGGTGTCTGCAAAGGTTCAGTCCCCTCTGTTCTTCTTAATGATCAGGCAGAGACAGAGCCGAGTCAGTGCTGGTTGAGTTGCTCAGGAGTGGTGTGGCTTGCTCCTGTGTCGCATCAAGAGGCCTGTGGTTTCCCCTGCCTCTGGTGGGTGATGTGACTGGTGATCTCCTTGTTTAAACCAGATGTTATCCCATTTCCACATTCTGCACTATTTCCCCTTTCACAATTATTAAGCCATTTGTGAAGAAATAACTTGAGACTGTGCAAAGCCTGTCTCTCAGGCAATCCCTCTGCTCAACTGGGTA